TTCGACACCAACATAAAATCATTTCTCGCATTTTTTGGACGAGGTATTTCAAAAACAAACGAAGTTTTTTCCACGATAAAATGTCACGTGATAAAACTCCCTACTTATGCTTTTTTTTAACTTAATAATTATGTTTCAATACAGTAGAAAAACTTTATTCTGAGGTTCATAATTCCATCAAAATCTCAATTTTTTCAAAAAGTAAAGATAATAAAATATAATTTTAACCTCGCGAACTGTTTTACCAGCTTTATGAGATGAGCGAATGTTTTTTACAGTTGCTTACTGTTTCTGGTTTTCAATTTTATGATTTATTTTCATCCAACAAAAATATCATCAATCGACAGGTATAATGAATTTTTGAAGCGTGAGGTTCATAAAGTTGCTGTTGTTGCTAATTATTCCTTGTAATTACTAAGTTAGCGTCAAAAACCAAACCAAATGTTTGGTTAGCTAATTGCATTTTTTTAAATAAAAAAATACAATCAACTAACAAAACATTTGAAGTAACAACATTTGAAAAAAAATATAAAAAATTTATTTTAAAACAGTTTTAAAAATTAAGATTTCGTTTTACTTTTACTTTTTGATCGATGATCAAAATTCTATCGAGTTAAAAACAGGGGTGTGGAGTCGTAAAAAAAATAACGACTCCGACTCCAGTTGTTGAAACTTTTTGAGTAAAACTCCGACTCCGACTACAACTCTAAAGCAAAATTTTTGAAAAATTCTTTGAATTCTTTAAAAAATATTACGCAATTAGTTAAAAAAAAATTTTGACAAATTTATGAAACGTTCTTTGAGGTTTAGTATGAACATAAGGTTGTTTTGTACATGCACGTGTTTTAGATAAGATAGATAAAATAGATAAGAATGTTTTGTACATGCACGTGCAACACCGAGAAGTTTTACTATTGGAGTCGGAGTCGCGATTTTGTTTAGCGACTCTGACTCCGCTAAAAATGTTGCAACTCCACAACTCCGACTTCGACTCCACAGCCCTGGTTAAAAACTAAACTTACTTTAGCTTAAAGGTTACCTGTCAAAGAGGACTCAAGAAAAATGTTTGAAAATAATGAAACAGTAAAACATATTTTCTTTTTTTTTTTTTAAGTTGATTAAGGTGCCCCAAGAAGTCCTTATGGTCTTATCACAGAACACCGCGGAAGAGCATTTAATAGGAAGTTCACGCCTCCTTCCCAACCGATGAACCACGGATCTTACGTTTCTGAGGCAAGTGCGCTTATAGTAAGCAAAAAGATGCCAGTAGGATTATATTTGTTGCACGTAGAACTGTTTACTGCAAACCACTTTTAAGGGAATTTTTAAGGGAGCCCTAAATGTCTATAAACTTAGTATACACCAAGTTTTATTATTCGTATTTAAAACAAAGCATGGACTTTCTAATGTATTACTGTAATGTCTTACTGTAGCAAAAATACTCGCAAATACCCTACTCAATTAGTAATTTCAGGGTTAAGCGGAAATATAAATTAAATTATGCGGAAATGTAAATTAAAAAATGCAGAAATATAAACTAAAAAATGCGGATATATAAATTAAAACAAGAAAATTAAAACAAAAAACAAAATATTAATAAGAAAATATAAAATTGAAATTAGAAAATAATTACAAGATTTTTTTAACTTTTTATCTTCATATTTTCTTATCTTGATTTTTTTTTGTTTTAATTTATTTTTCCGCTTATATTTCCGCATAACTAATTTTATATTTTCGCATAAATTAGTTTATATTTCCGCATAACCCTGGAATAACTTTGTTATTTCAAGTACTAATTTAGAGCTAAGTTTTTACCAAATCCAATATCGTGGACCGTCTTTATGGGAAAATTTTTTAAAAATTTATTACTATTAAGAACACTGTTCAAAAGATCAGTTTAGAACTGTTCAGTAAAAAATCTAGGAGCACCTATTACAAAAAGACTTGATATAAAATATCACTTTTAAAACAAATTCATAAATAATATAAATTACCTAAAAAATATTTATTGACACTACACAATTTTTGTTTGTTGCAATTTATTTAAATTTTTTTTTTTAACAAATTGTTTAACAAATAATCTTGTTAAAGATTTAATGATTCATGTATGAATAATTATTATGATTCAGAATCTATACAGTCCAAGAACCTCTTAACAAATTGTTTTTAACATATAAATTTTTCGAAATGTTGTTATACTTTTAATTTTGTCATTAACCTTTAATTTAATGCGTTATATTTCAACACGTGTAATTATAATTTAAATGTAATAAATAAACGCGTTTAAAACTTTTTGTGTAGTTTATTTCTTTCTTTTTTTTTTACTATATATAAACTGACAAACTTGAAATGTAAACAGAGCTTGGTGATAAGACAGTGTATGTCTTCTTCTTGCTCTAGTTCTTTTATATATAAGCTCGATTTATCTTTTAGTAAATATTAGTATACGGCAAAAATAATAATAATAAAAATACTGACGATAATTGCCAAATTATATCTTTAGTATTCTAACGCCAAATATATTATTTATCATAAATGAACTATTGCAGAAGGATTGCAGAAATAAATTAAAAATCATAACTCCAATTCAAGGATGTAAAAAAAATAGTTAAAAAAAATTGCAAAAATAAAAACTCAACAAGATTAAGCAATTCCTTTTTTATAATTAATTCTTTACTTCGTGTAAAATACATTCAGTTTATTGACGTTTAATTTTACATATTTACTAAATATCTTAAACAAAAAACATTGAAAATAAAAGGATTAATTTTTTTATATATAGATTTTGTTTATATTTGAAGATTCTCATATTTCTTCTACATAAAACGAAGAGAAATCTATATTCTCGATATCCCGGTTTTCTCAAAATCGGCCACACCCAAGCGGTCTTACGTTAACAAAAAGGATAGAAGTGAGAAGTTAAAAGTTAATTGTTAGGGTAGGTTACTTAATCGACAAGTATAAAGGATTACTAAATGCATCCTAATTAGTATTACATTTACGCTATTGATTTTTTAAGTTTTGACTTTTAAACTATTTTTGAGTAAAAGATATTTAAAGTGGTATTTCTAATATCATAATTAGAAGCTTCCTCGAAGAATTTAAATAACGTCGGTCAAACTCATATTATTTATGTTTTTTAACAATTTTATATGATGATAAATATTAGCTTTTTTATTTTATCGTAATGTAAATGGCTTTTTTTATTTATTTTGATCATTGGTAAATTTTCTTACTATGTATTGATATAAATTAAAGCACAAATCACAAAGATATAACATTTATTTTGCAAATATTTAAGTTATTTTAAAAGTTAAAAAAGATTTACATGTTAATTAAATATATTTTTTAAATTTTTAAATACTCTTGACATGGAAATGAACAAAAAAAAAAAACATTTAGTTTTTTAAAATAAATGAAGTCTTGCTTTAAAAATCTCTGTATCTTTAATTTATAAGCACACAGTTGTAAGTATAATTTTTCCCATTTTGATTGCTATTTGATAAATGTTATGTGCTTAACAAAGAAGTTTTTATATACTTAAAAACAAAGTGATTTGAATGTCTAACAATCTGTTTCTCTGGGATGTCTCTGTGAAAAGTGTAGTCATTAGAGTTAAAAAATGAATCAGAGGACAAGTTTTTTACAAATAAAATTGGCTTATCGTTAGGAGAGGTAATAAGATCAAACTCATTATGAGAGATGAAATGTTAGACTTGTTTTTGATAATAACACAATTGAACAATTTCTCAAGTTCTTAGGTTCTAAGAACTATCTAAGATAAAATACTAGACTTAGTTTAAGAAGAATAATGAAGCTTAGTCTTAGACAATATGTTTTTGCATCAATTTCTTGCATGATAAATGTCTGATTTCATGAGATTTTTCTTGATGAAAAAGACGAAATAATTGGTTGCTATTATATATAGCAACTGAACAAAAAAAAAACCATGCAAAAAAACCATACAAAAAAACGCAAGAAAACCATGGCGTTTAGTGTGACTTGACTCAGGACCAACAAGAAGGAATAAGAACTCCATGCCTCATTCAATCTAGAAGATAATGTAAAAGACGTAATTTTCACTAAAGTCATGAAATTATATGGTAATTTTCAGATGAAAGACATCAGCCCAAGGACCATCACAAAGAAAATTATGTAAGCAGTCTCAGTCCACTCTAAAATAGTAGTATAAAGGAAAGTGAATCTGATGCAGAAGAAGTTTTAAAAGAGTTTTATTGAGATATGGTCTGGATCATCTAAACAAGAACAAAAAGGGAACTGAGCGCACACTAGAGTCTAAATAAAATGCAAATCAAGGAGTGAAGGTAAGTGATTTAAAAAAAACCCTCACAAAGGTAAGTATCTGGGTTATATATAAAGTAAGACAAAACTTATGAGTTTTAGTATAGCAGGGTTAATGTTAACCATGCCACTCAGTGCGATGAGAATTAAAGTTACCGATAACAACAATATTAGCAGATTGGTAAAGAGAAAGAGCTTAAAAATGTTTGATCTTAAATTGCTTTTAAATTGCATTTTTTTTTTAACCATGGTTTTTATTGTATTATAAAATGACAAAAAAATCTTTCCTAACATGAAATTAATCATTGGCGATGAATCTAATATAAAGTTGAATCTGTTTAATTTGAGTGAAGTTTTTGCATTTTATGAATCAGTCTTAATCTTTCTTGTAAACTGTGTTCCACTGTGATCAGATGCGATGTACTTACTGATCAAACTAATCTAGAGCTGAAACTGTAAGTGTAAGATTCTGTTGATAACATATTTTGCTTGTTAAAAAATGTGTGTTCTTACAGATCATTTTATAGTCTTTTCTAAATATTTAATCATAAAGTTTAAGTAAAGTTGGAGGCTGAGCCATAGTTAGAAAATATTTGTTTAACTCCCCACCTTTTTTAGTAGATATTAAAAAGTTTAATTTTACAGGAAGAAAAAAAAGCTAATTTCTTTGTTAAAGTTTGTTTGTTAAAACGTATTGTAGTAAATTAAGTAAATTTATTGTATTTATTTTTATTTAAAAAAAGAAAAATTTTACATTGGTTTTGGATTTGAACAAAACTTTTTAGCTGTACTGCCTTAAAACATTACTATTGGTGTATAGAAAATTCATCTTGTTTTCAATTGGTGAGTATAAAATCTTTTATACTTTTCTTTGCTTTTTCATGTTGTGTAAATAGTAAATAGTATAAATGTGTGTATATATATATATATATATATATATATATATATATATATATATATATATATATATATATATATATATATATATATATATATATATATATATATATATATATATATATATATATATATATATTATATATTATATATTATATATATATATATATATATATATATATATATATATATATATATGTAGATATATATATTTGTATATATATATATATATTTATATATGTGTGTGTATATATATATATATATATATATATATATATATATATATATATATATATATATATATATATATATATATATATATATATATATTGCTGTTTTAGTGATATTTTTGTTTGTTTTTATTTTTAGGTAATTAGTTCAAATCAAAAATGGTGAAATCAGTAAGTTTATTCTGTCAAAATTATTTTTATGTTATTTGAACACCTTAATCTTTTATTATAATTATTCATATTTCATATTTATGTAAATAAAAAAGTTATAATTCTTATGTGATTGGTTTCTCTGATGTTTGGCAAATATTGTTCATGTTATTTCAATTGAATCTTTACAGATGTATTTTTCATTTTCTACAAGCAGTGTTTAAATTTTTTTAAAAGTGTTACAAAAATTTATCAGATGTGTTTAAAATCTTTATGATAATGAAAGAAAAGTTTTCATTTACTAAATATTCTTCATCAAAGGAAATAGTTTCAAAAATGTATGAAAAAGATAAGGTAAAATGTTAGTTGCTATGGTTTCATTATAAAGCAGACAAAAAATTTTATACAATTTTAAATATATTGAAAAAATTTTCAGGCCGGCATCTTTTTCATCTTTTTCATCTTTTTTTTTTTTTCTGGATTTTCTGTATGTCAATGTTTTCTGTATCTTAGTGTTATTTCTAATAAACAATATTCAAAAAGCTATATAATGCTATAAAATCATCAGGGTCATAAAGTTTAAATGTATGTAGACAAGATATTTTAATTAAAAAATGATAACTTAAGCCTCTGTATATTAGAAATTTCCTAACTTGTGCTGATGATTTCATAAGTAATAATTTTATTACTACAAATTCAGTATTACTCATTAAGACATTTAAAAAAAAAAAATTAAAATCAATAAGTGTTTATAAAAAAGTCGAAAAGAATCAAAACAAAGTTTTCCGTTGAAAACAGAAAATAACCAAGATAAAGAAAAGTTGAAAATAGTTTATCAACTGTAGAGTTATCAAGCATAAAAATCACATTTAATTTAATATTTGTCTCCTTTCACTAGAAAATTGTTAACTAAATTTAATAATTGATCTACTCATTTTCACTGTTAAACATATATAAATAATATATAAAAAGAAAGAAAAAGTTGTACATTATTCATTAGTACAATTTATAAATTACTGGAACTAATATTTTAGTGTTAAAATCACAGTTTTAAAGATCACTTTAAAAACTGCAATTGTGGCTCTCCACACTTCAACAAAAAAGCCACAATTGTTAATAAACAAAGGGTTAATAAAAAAATCAATGGATAAATATGAACATTTCAAATATATAACATAGTTATCATAAAAATCAAATTAAGACTAATTTGACTCAATTTTCCAACAATTGTCTCATCATAGATTTTATTTAAATCATATCGATTATCAAAATTTTTATCTAAAAATGTCTTTAAACTAAATTTTCAGTCAGTTACACAATAGTTTACAGAGTAAATCCAAAGCAAATAAATTTTTATAATTAAGACTTGTTTTCCAATTAAATGCATTCTTATTTGTTATTAATCAAACTCTATTAAGTAAGCTAAAATTAAAATATTTACAGAAAGGATTTTTACCATTTATAAAAAGTGTCAATTTTGAATTTCTTATTATAATTTTCAAAACCTTCTAGTATAAAAAGACCATTTAGAAACTAAACCTTAGTAATAAAGTAACAGATAATATAATTATTTTAAGATATTTTCTCAGTTTATCTTTGTTAAATTTTTTCAGATTAATGTCCGTGTCACAACTATGGATGCTGAATTAGAATTTGCTATTCAGCCTAACACTACTGGTAAACAGTTGTTTGATCAAGTTGTCAAAACAATTGGTCTTCGAGAAATTTGGTTTTTCGGACTCCAGTATACTGATACAAAAAATTACACCACTTGGTTGAAATTGAACAAAAAAGTGACAGTACAAGAAGTTAAGAAAGAGTCTCCTTTGCAGTTTAAATTTCGTGCTAAATTTTTCCCTGAAGATGTTGCTGGTGAACTTATCCAAGAGGTTACCCAGCGTTTGTTTTTCTTACAAGTTAAAGAAAGTATTTTGTCACAAGAGGTTTATTGCCCACCAGAGACATCAGTCCTATTAGCTTCGTATGCAGCTCAAGTAAAATATGGTGACTATAAACATGATCTTCATAAAAAGGGCTTTTTGTCTAGTGACCGATTATTACCAGATCGAGTTTATGAGCAACATCAAATGTCCAAAGAACAGTGGGAAGAAAGAATTATGTCATGGTGGGGGGAACATAAAGAAATGTTAAGGTTATTCATTTTATTTTTATGTTTTTATTTTTTTTTATAATTATATTTTTTCTACAAACATGTTTTATTTCTAACTTTTTTATAAATATTTTCAAAATATACCACTATCTTTTACATTTCAGAGAAGACTCCATGATGGAGTACCTTAAAATTGCTCAAGATCTTGAGATGTATGGAGTAAACTATTTCGAGATTAAAAACAAGCGTGGAACCAATCTTTTCCTCGGTGTTGATGCTTTAGGTTTGAATATTTATGAATCTGAAGACAAGCTTACGCCTAAGATAGGGTTTCCTTGGAGCGAAATTAGAAATATTTCATTCAATGATAAAAAATTTGTTATCAAACCTATTGATCGTAAAGCACCTGTATGATTTATTTATGAATGTATGTGTGTTCAAAATTTTGTAGTTTTTTTAATTTGATATTTATTAAAATCTTTTTTCTTTAGGATTTTCTTTTTTATGTCCCACGTCTAAGAATTAACAAACGTATATTATCACTCTGTATGGGTAATCATGAACTTTACATGAGAAGGAGAAAACCAGATACTATTGAAGTTCAACAAATGAAAGCACAAGCAAGGGAAGAGAAACAAGGTAAGCAGGCTGAAAGACAGGCTTTGGCTAAAGAAAAGCAAGCACGAGAAGATGCTGAGAATGAAAAGATAAAGTTAGAGTTGAGACTTAAAAGGTTTGAAGAAGAAGCGCGTTTAGCACAGGAAGCTCTTGAAAAAGCCAAAAAAGAGGCAGAAGTATTACAAGAAAAGAAACGTCAAACAGAAGAAGAAGCACATCGGGTCAAAGAGCTTCAATTGGCAGCTGAAGAAGCACGTCTGCGTCTTGAGCAAGAAGCTGAGCATGAAAGGTTATTTTTGATTGAGTTTCATTACAACATGTTGAAATTTGAATAATATTTAATAAATTTTTTTTATTGTGTATCCAGTTACTAAATTTAGTTAATTGTAGAATGGAAAAAGCTGAATATGAAAGAAGAGCAGCTGAAGCTGCAGCTGAAAGCCAACGCCTTGTATTAGAAGCTGAGGCAAAAAGAAAAGAAGCTGCAGAACTGAAAGTGTTACTTGAAGAGTCAAAGTTACGTGAAGAAGAGCAACGTATAAAGTTAATGGAAGTCGTTTCAACTCCTCCTGCAGCCATGTTGCAAACAGATGAACAGGAAGAAGAAAATGAAAGTGCTGATTTAACCAGTCATGATACTGTTGATACAAGAGAGTATGACTATACATCACAAACAGATAAAGATCAAAAACTAAAGAACCAGTTAAAGGTATTTTTTTTTTTTTTTTTGTGCATATGTAAATAGCTAATTGATTAACTATATAATTTATTTATGTATGTGTTTCTATTTACAATCAATGAAAACAACAGATTTTTTAATTTTTAAAGTAAATGGTTTCAAAAAATATTTACTTTTATCCCAAAAAAATATTTTATGAACACTATGTTTTTTTATATTTGTATTTATAATTTATCTAATAACTCAATTTATTACATAATTTGTCGACTTTGTTGTTATTTTAAAAAAATTTTAATAAACATCCATTTACAATTAATTTATTGAATAAATAATTAAATTATTCTTGCTTCGTTTATAAAGTGGGCAACACCATTACAAAGCATTTCTAAATATTTTATCCATTACAAATTTTAGTGTCTTAACTTTACAGAATAAAATTATATTTATCCATTATTTTGTCTTATTAAAAATTTTATATCTCATAAAACCAAAAATAGTTAAAAAAAATTTTTTTTTGGTAAAATTTTGTATTTTCTTGTTTTGCCTCGCGCTATAAGGGAGGGGTTGGTGGTTTTGTGACAACATACTAATTAAGTGTTACGATTTTGACGAGAGGAGGGTTGGTCAAAAACGGTCGAAAATTGTGTGACGTAATTTACGGTCGACCTCTTATACGAGTTCGTCATAAGTGAGAAATTCATTGTCCACGCTTGTCATAAATCGTCGAGCTCGTCATAAATTAAGAAATTGCTTACGCTTGTAATAAAAGTTTAATTGTTATACAGCGTTTTTTTGTGGTTAAATATTTTGAATACATTTAAAAAAAAAGCTCTTTAGACGTCCCAATTTCCCAAAGTTTGCGTCTGGTTGTGTTTTTGTTTTTTTTTATTTCTATTTTATTCCTTTTCTTTGTTACTATTTTGATCTATTAACTTAATTATAATACAATGTTAGCTAAATTAAGTAAAATTGTTTTAATATTTTTCGATTTATGGATTTTTTTTTTAATTATTAAATTGAATTAGTTTAAAATAAATTTATATTTAATGTTTTCTTGTCGTTAAAAAACTAATAGATCTTTTAAACCATGCTATGTAACATAAAGTTCTTTTCGATAGTATAGATAGTAATAGATAATAATATTTTCTTAAAAAATAATAATATATATTTTTTTTGTAAAAGTTTTTACGAAACTAAATTTGTTTTTTAAACGTTTTTAATTTAACAAATGTTTTTTAAAATTAATTTCGTTAAAGTTTTTGCTGAAAAGGTTTTGTTTAAATACTTGTAAAATACTATAGAGTTTTATAATTGTTTTAAACTAACAACTTGATAACTTTACACTGTTAACTTAAAAAACAATTAAAAGTTTTCAGTTTTCCTTTTCGGTACTGTACGGTACGTTAAAATTTCCACAGTACGATAAAACTTTCATTGGTCGCACGATAAAACATTCATTGGTCGTACAAAACTGTTAACTTAGTTAAATGAAAAATAAAGGTTTTAGTATTTCTTGTTGGGGATCGTCCATAAATTACGTAACGCAAAATTTCACAATAAAGAAATCAAAAGTTTTCCCTCGCAGTCTTAATTTAATTAAATAATCAATATAGGAAATTGAGTTAAATGAAAACCATCCCGTAAAATATCACCTACTTTTTTTTTTTTCTTGTTTTGAAATATTTTTTGTGTTGAGTAATTTATGGACGATCCCTTGGTGTTACGCGTTAAATTTCCACAATTACGATTTAACTTTCCATTCATTGTTTTTACGAAACGGAAACCCGTGTTCTAATTTAAACAAATGACGTAAGTTTTATTTAAAAAACAAGTTTTTTAAGGCATTGTTCATTTAAATGTAAAAAAACTTAATTATGATTGTATAATCTTACATAATAATGTTACGATTATATAAATACATTTTTTCAACAATACGCGAACTTTTTTGTTTAGTTAAACAACTTTTGTATTAAACAAAAACAATTTATCAAAAATATTTGATTTAAAATAAAGTAAATAAGTAATATTTTCTCCCATATAAATTCTTGAAACAAGCGCGATTTTATACTCTTTATTTTATACTAGATTATCGAGCGTTTATCACACCTGGAATTCTTATATATTTTGTTTAGGTGCGTATTTCACGTGCGCGGAGCGATCGCTCCCGCTTTAAAATAAAGTCTGAGCAATATCTCATGAGTTTTATTCGTAATATGCAGCAGGCATCTGCTATTAAATACACATTTACGATTTGATGTCAAACAAATTGACGTCAAATAATTTTTTTTTGAGTCTTATGATTTAATTATTAAAAGGTAAAAGAATTAGTGTGAGAAATAAAAGAATTAGTGTGAGAAACAAAAGAATTAGTGTGAGAAATAAAAGAATTAGTGTGAGAAATAAAAGAATTAGTGTGAGAAATAAAAGAATTAGTGTGAGAAATAAAAGAATTAGTGTGAGAAATAAAAGAATTAGTGTGAGAAATTGATTTATTTTAGGAAAGAATTTCACTAATATTTTTTTATTTAGAGAATTTTTAGGTTATAAAATATCAATTTTTTTAAATTTTAGATTTTAGGCATTTAAATATCAAGTTTATATATAAAATTAAAATTAGGATCTGTATCATAAAATAAAAAATTAATTACAGTAAATATAGCAAGAGTTATAACATTCAAAACTAGGGATTCATTTACACTAATAACTGCAAAACAGAGCAATTAGTTATTAATAATACAAATGCAAAGTATCAACATCTTAAATAAAGAACAATTTAGGGGAGAGTGGGGTATTGGCAAACAGCCAAGCAGTAATGCAAATTAACCAGTTATATGAAAATTGATAATATTTATTGCTTATCGATTAGTCTAATTATTCAGTCGCAATCCTCAAAACAATTTTTGTCAATCTTATAAAATAAAAATTTAGAGAAGAAAAAAACCATTGGTGTTCAGAATAACCCAATGTACGTGGTGTAATTCTGAACACACCGTGGGTAATCACAAACACTGTTGTGTAATAATGAATAAAATGCTAATTGTAATAATTAAGTGCAAAAATAGAGCATGAAGTTTTGGATCTAATAATTAACACAATTTTTTTCCTCCGAAAGTAAAAAAAATTGATTTTGGGTTTGGAGTTTAATCTTGAACTAATTCAAAAGTTTGTTTTGTTGAACACCCAACAATAAGTTTAAAATTATTTAAAATAAAATGTATTGTTCTCAAAGTTTCTCTTTTTTACCCCTCATAAAGGTTTCAAATAAACCAAGGGAACCCAAGCAACTATATTTATTATGACTCTTATTGATTAGAACATATCTAATCAATAAGAAAAGAGCACAAAAATATTCTAAATACAATTATATCAAAAATCATTAGGATATTCTACAAAACTAGTCCTATTCTGCAAAAATTTAATTAAAATGCACATAGCTTGTCAGTTGCTCATCTGATTAGCTTTTTACACTGGCTATCAGTTTTTTGCTGAAGCTATTAGTTTAAATCATTTTTTATCTTATCGCTAACAATGATATAAGAAATTTGTAGATGTTTTAATAATTTTTTTTATTGGATTTTAAAACAATAAATTTATAAAAAGAACTTTAAATTAAATTTATTGTAATAAAATGTTTATTGTAATAAAATCTTGGTGCCATTTCAGAAAATAAAACTAAGAGAAAAAACTATTTTGGAATTTTTCTTTATTTTTTGTAAGTTCTATAAGATTATAAGAAAAATAATGTATTTAATGCATAACTGTTGTGTGGTAGTTTAAGAAACAGTCAGGACACAGTCCAACATCACATATCCAAAATCAACATCACATTATTGGTGTTAAGTTTACGCAATAAGTAGCTATTTAGCATTGTCTTGCCAAATAGATTAATAAAAATTTGTTTTTCTTAGTGGTGTTTAAAAATGCCATCTTTTGATAATTTACAATCTTTTTTTAGTTCCTTTAACATTTTTTTGTAACTACTTTTTGTAACCAAAAAAGCTAAGAAAGAAATCTTTTATTGTTTTATTTAGTTTTATCTTGTTCACATGTTTATTCAAACATGTTTCTTTACAAGGATAAATTCTAACATCTTGAAGCACTTTAAACTTTTGAGAGCATTATGCAGAGATGGTTAAATATAATTTACTTATATATAATTGCTTGAAAATATTGTACTGTTACTTTTTTTAAACTCAAATCAATATTTATTTTGATAAAAATTTTTATTAAAATTTTTTATTAAAAAGTCGTAAAGTTTAAGCGACTTATTTAGCACTGTATCCTGCCTTGTAATGGCCGTGTTGTTTAGCAATGTTGCTCCGGTTTATACCATTTTTCCGGTAGTTAATTATGGTTCAGAATTCCTTCAATCGCCTGGGGAAATATTATATTGAACAATGGTATTGTTGTGGCGTTTATGAAGCATATTATATTTTGTTGTGTTTCATTTGTGTGTATGGAGTTCCAAAAAAACTCTTGCTTTAAATCTCTATTTTTTCCTGGTCTCTGGTGGTCCAGGAGCTCTAAACATGTTGGCTGATTTATGATCTGCAATAAGACAAAAATTCATGAGATTTAATGACTTGGAACTTATTGTTTTTAAGCTCGGAATCCTTGCCGCCATTAGACTTGAAGACTCTGATTTCAAATATTTTGTTGTTCCTCTGACCTAAAAATCTTGATTTTTTTCCCATTAGTAGTCCATAAGCTTTTTTATATTTTCAGAGCTCCTGGATACCTAAAATTTGGAAAAAGTAATCTTTTATAATTTTAAAATCCAGAGTCCTTTTTGAGACGACGCATCCTTTGCATTATGTGTCTATTAAATAAATATATTCCAAAATTTGATATTTATGATAAAATATTTGAATAAAAAATGTAGAATTCAATCTGAGGCCAATTTTGGACCAATTTTGGACCAGCCAGTCATTTTTGTTTTATTTTAAAATATCCCTCCACCTTTTTGAAGCTTTGAGATACAAGTCTTGGTAATAATATAGAGTATGCTCTAGTGTCCTTTTTGGATTTTACATCTCTGGTCGAAAAGATGAATGTTGAAGTAAACGAAAAGTTGTATTAAGTTGTTTACATTCTGCATACACCTTATTTAAAAATATCTTGGTTTGAAATGTTTATGCACTGTATATTTCTTTCAATCTCTTCTTGTAACTCTTTTGTTAGCATAACACTTCTATTTTTTTCTGACGGTGTTTAATAAATGCGTTTCTTTCTGTTAAATTATTACATAACTGAATGTTTGTTGTATCAGAATTACTAAATATTTCACTTTTTATTTCATAGGTGTTTTTTTTTTTGTTTTGTTTTTTTTTACAATAATTTTTCACACAATTATGAATGATTTAGCACACACAAATTTATATATCGTTCTTTTTTCTCACAATGTCTAGAGATGGTTAAATATAATTTACTTATATATAATTGCTTGAAAATATTGTACTGTTACTTTTTTTAAACTCAAATCAATATTTATTTTGATAAAAATTTTTATTAAAATTTTTTATTAAAAAGTCGTAAAGTTTAAGCGACTTATTTAGCACTGTATCCTGCCTTGTAATGGCCGTGTTGTTTAGCAATGTTGCTCCGGTTTATACCATTTTTCCGGTAGTTAATTATGGTTCAGAATTCCTTCAATCGCCTGGGGAAATATTATATTGAACAATGGTATTGTTGTGGCGTTTATGAAGCATATTATATTTTGTAGTGTTTTATTTGTGTGTATATAGTTGTATTTTTTTTTTATTTTTAAACTTCAACCATTAGGCATTAGGTGATGACCTGCTAAAGCTTCGCGATGAAACAAAGAAAACACAAGAAGATATTCTCCACGAAGGCAACTTGAAAGAAGGACGTGATAAATATAAAACTCTTCGTCAAATTCGACAAGGGAATACTAAACATCGCATAGATGAATTTGAATCAATGTGAATAACGGCGACAAAAAGAAGAACGAAATTAAATTATATAATTTATTTTTTTTTTTTTTTTTTTTTTTTTTTAGTTATAAGTTAGTTCTGCGTTGATTATATTGAAATATTTTTTTATGGGTAAGTAAAGTTTAGTGTGATCTTCTTATATTATATATTTCTTACTGACAGCCAACTGACAGTGATGTAGCTGATAGTCAGTGATAGCAATAAGTTTTTCAAACATTTAAAATAAATCTTAGAAATTACTTTAAAGATAAATGGAGTTCTGCTCTTATATTTTACCGTTTGAAAAAAGAAAAAAGTTTAATAATATAAATAGTTTTTAGGTATAATTTCTCAGAAAAATACAGTGGTATAACTTATACTGTTATGATTGACGAGAGATAAAAAATAACATTTACCCGATGGTAAAAAAAAAACTTGACTTTTTTATTTAGTACGGTGATCACTTTTTTCTTAGTTTTCTATAGTTTTCTAGTTGTTTAAAAATCATTTTTAGTTTCTTGTTTAAGATTTTTTTTTTTTAATGCTCCATCATATAAATAATTATATACTATAGCATGCTTTACAGCTTTTTGACGATGATGAGCTCCTTGTCTGGTTGTCGATTCTTATTAAAACTTCTTTAAAACGCATCTTTACAATATTCTTTAAATCAAGTATTAAAATCCGTGGAGAATCCCAACTCCTACCCGCGATTGTCCATTTGCAGATATATAACCTTCCTCATTCATGGAGAAGCACAAATGTTGCATTGATCGTAATATTGCAGCAATTCTTTATTATCAAAATGTGCGATTTTAGCAAACAGTCATTAATTGCGACAAAAGTGTTACAGAATTTTAATATATTCCAAGACAAAAAGTTTTAATACATGCTGTTTTATAATTATGCAGGTGAATAATTTAGTAACTTCTATTTCCTTTGAACTTGAGCCCCAATATTTTTTAGTTTTTCGTGAGTTAAGGGTATTAAAGTTTCGTCCTAAAATTAGTTTTTTGTTTAAGATTGGTGTCTATTTAGATTCTGATCTATTGTCTCCGTAAAATCACTGTTTATCGGCGTCTTCCTCTTTCTGCTTTATAAAGAGTTTTTTTTTTTTTTTATGGGAATAGAATTCAGGAATGGAACGTTCCCTTTAATAAAAAAGCTGCGACACATTTTAGTCTTAGATTTAATATAAATAAGCACACATGTCAAAACATTTGTCAGGCAAGTTAAATTAAAAAGAGCGAACATGGTGTTCAGAAGGCTCTAAAAGTTGTTCTGAAGCAGAGACAGCTTATCGAAGTGATATACAACTTGCGTTCTATATCGAATGTTCTACCAAGCATGGTCTAGACAAAGCCACATCTTCTATGCGTTTTTGCGATTTGTTTGAATCTTATTCTTTTGAATAAGATTCAAACAAATCACAAAAACGCTGCACTGTATGCCAAAGGTGAGCAAAACCCCTCAAAACCATCTTCTATACTGGGGTAGTTTTTTTATAAATGTAATCTAGAGACCTTCTGCATCTAAAACTAGCATAATTTTTTCCTTACTATAATTTCTAAGTTCAGTATATCAACTTTACCACCAAAATGGTAATATTTTACTTTGCAAATATTAGTCAAAATAAAGAAATTATATAAAAAAGAAATATGAGGCTATTAGAGATATAGGTTATAATTTGTTTTTAAAGTAAGCGATTTATATACACATATAATATATGGGTACAAAACCTGTTATATTATAGCAAGTTTTGTAACAAAATACAAAGGAGGAGGGTTTAAAAAATCCATCTCTGACAAATTAATTAAATTATTAAACGATTTTCCACAAACTATTTAAGATACTGATAAGAGTGAGAAAAAAAAAAAGTAATGCTGATAAGAGTGAGAAAAAAAGATGAAGTAAGTTATTTGTGGAGGTTACATCCTGTACCAAAAGAGGATGACAACTCAGGGACTCATAGCCAACTGCTAAAAGTTGAAGGAGGAAGGACAGAGCAGGACGCTCAAATTTTGAAAAAGACCACAACTTCTAATATTAAGGTTGAAACTATTTTCCAGCGAGCAAATCCAGGTTTCGCGTTTTTTGTAAAATCAAGACCCGAATTATTGAAATTTATTTAAACCGTTTATAATCAATATAATTTATATTATTTACTCAATTTATTATAGGAAAATATATTTTCCTATAATAAATTGAGATAGATAAATAATTTAATAGATTTATTATATTAAATAATTCTTTATATATATATATATATATATATATATATATATATATATATATATATATATATATATATATATATATATATATATATATATAGATAAATAATTTAATAGGTTTATTATATTAAATAATTCTTTATATATATATATATATATATATATATATATATATATATATATATATATATATATATATATATATATATAGAGATAAATAATTTAATAGGTTTATTATATTAAATAATTCTTTATATATATATATATATATATATATATATATATATATATATATATATATATATATATATATATATATAGATAAATAATTTAATAGGTTTATTATATTAAATAATTCTTTATATTATATATATATATATATATATATATATATATATATATATATATATATATATATATATATATATATATCGCGAGGTTAGAATTATTTTGTTCTATCTCCACATTTTTTTGTTTCGAGATAAAATGATTTAAAAAATAAAAACTTAGAGAGACAGCATATAAAAAGATTTTTATTACTTATGTTTTCTCCGAAACTTTTTTGATTTTAACTTAGGTTTTAATATAGTAGAAAAACATTATTTTGAGGTACATTACACAATTAATAACTCATTTTTTTCAAAAAGTGGAGATAGAACAAAATAATTCTAACCTCGCGATATATATATATATATATATATATATATATATATATATATATATATATATATATATATATATATATATATATATATATATATATAAATATATTAAAACACATAGTCTTTATTCCTCACCTGTCTGTTTTCCTACTTGTTCGTAGCAAGGAAAGAGATGAGGTTTACTAGACAAACCCAAGTCCCTTCTCCACACTCTATTGCAAGCTAATCAGATTTCAATACATTATTGAGAACAAACATGTTGTGGTAGAGAGTATCTTATTTAAGAAGTTTTAGGATGTCCCTACATGTTTGAATCGGTTCATGATCTACCACAAGCTATTTTCATCAACTATGATGATGAAAAAGTTGATACCATTCTTAGTAAAATGACTGACGCAACTACTAGTTGTAGCATATGATGCATATGCATTAGAAGCTAAAACTAGTAGTTGCGTTACAACAAGTTAGAGCTGTTCATATGAACAGCTCCAACCTGAACAACTTTAGGTTTCGATGATTAGTTGATGAAGAGTTTTTAGATTACGTTCTGTGTCCTCTCCAGCAATAAAGAGGTAAAAAAAGCTTATCAGTGCTTATCTAGCTTATCATCTAAAAAGCTTTATCAGTATTACCTGGAGACTAAACGACTGTTCATATGCCCCAAGCAATACACAAGATGTTGGCACAATCATCCGGTTGTCATTTTTTACCATTCCATTTAGATCCTTTTTAGAGGAGCCACAGGAGTCTTTCAACAAGGTGTTCAATTACTACACAATGAAATTCTCCAGGTCTCAAACAAAAAATGATTTTCTGATGAAAGCAACAAAAAATGATTTTCTGATGCAGCAACAATTCTTTAATATTCAGAATGAGGAGGAGTTAGAGAAAGTTCAAAGACTCTAGTCTTAAGGAGGCTAAGGAGCTCTTGATACCATAATATATGATATATATGATCACCAAGATTCTTATTTATAAAAAGCAAATTTATGTTATCAAAGTTCAATTTTACTGTACGTTGTATGCTTGTATTTCCAATATCAAAGAAATTAAGTTAATAAATAAATAAATTAAAAAAATATATATACCGTCTTGATAACCCCAACCTTAATTACTTATACTTAAATATACGATTACCCCATCTAATTGAAAAACAATCCGGACATTCTTGACCAACCTTAACCACCCCTAAAATAACCACTTGAGTGATCATGGCTACTCCAAAAGACCAAATATGCCCAATTTTAAATTCTATGACCTCAATCACCTATATTTAGATATAAAATATCTTCCACCTAATTTAAAAACCCATAAGCATCCCTTAAATTCAAAATCCCATAAACATCCTTGACAATCTCTAAATTCACTGTGACCACCTGTGTAATCATGACTACTCCAAACTTAACATCGAGCCAGGAAATAAAATTCTAGGCTCCATAAACATGTTTCATATGCCTATATTTAAGCCATTAGTAGTTTTGCCGTTTGTAGCGAAATCTGGCCCACTATGCGCTGTATCAAGGAGTAAACCCTAATATTTACACATAAGGCAAGCGATAAGACTACGTAAAAATTTTCTTTAATAAAGAAACAGTTACTATAACACATCTTATTATGAAATATTAAAAAATTAAAAGTAAAAGCACAACGTTCTTATCCTAATAATATATTAAGGTGGTCGCCAACTATTCAAAGTTGTTAAAAACTTTGAGACAAAAAACACAGATGAACGGATCCATCCATCCATCCATGTTTGAACTGTGAAACTTGAAAATTTTCTTCCAAACAAACTTGTCTCTGTAAATCTTTGTATATTTTCTGCAAATATATAAAATCAATAGAAAACTCCCAGCAACACGAACACTAGTGAATCCTAGATGGATTTGACAAAACTAATCCACCTTCAACACAATCTATAGGATTTGTATTATCAGCAAAAAAACCTTTTGTTAAAAATCAAAGTTTTACAGCAAAAGTCAAAAAGAAAGTTTTTTTTTTTTTTTTTTGTGGTTTACATTTGTTAATTGTTGTACAGCTTTAAATAACCCATAATAAAAATAATAATATAAACTTACAATGACTTAAAACATAACAAACATAAACAAGGTATATCTGAAAGATACCTTGTTTATGATCTTGTCGTCAGAACCTT